CCAGCTAGCTGGATGGTGGCCTGTGCTGATTTAGTAGTGGGTAAGCAACACCTTTCTACTGCGCATGTGAAAGGGGAGCAAATCTTTAACTGGGATAGAGACACACAGCTGATCAGGTTCCAGTATTTGATACACGAATGCTCCTGAACTTAGAATTTTAATCTAGATAACAGGCAAACCCAAGATCCATTGGGCATTTTAAACAGTCACGGGAGAACCTAAAGCTGCTTTCTGGAGCCTGGGATGGGAGGATTAGAAACTGGCTCAGAGACCAAACAGAGTAGGAATAAATGGCCAATTTTCAACATGGCAAAAGGTTAACAGTGAGCCCTTCCCACCCCCCAGCTTCGAGACAAAGTGTGTGTCGATCGGTGAAAGGGTAGTGAAAAAAGCAGGCCTTGTTTGGATGTATCAAGAATGGGATAGGTTGAAAATACTGAAATTTTGTCATATAAAATCAATGTTATGCTCTCATCTAGAATACTGCAGTCAGTTGTAGACACCTCAGAAAGAATATAGCCAAAGGGATACCCAAATGGGCCACAGAAGTAGTTAGAGGCCTAGAGAGTAGAAAAAATGGGCTAGTTTAGTTTGAGAAGACCAGTAAGGGGGGGATGAAAGAGACACACAGTGCTGAACAGGTGAGAGGAGGTAAATCGCTGGGTGTCCCTTTTACTTTCTTTCAGAATACAAACTCGGAGGGACATTCAGTGAAATCTATCGGCAACAGCCTTAAGCTGATAAAGGGAAATACTTTTACATAGCACAAAATCAGCTTGTGGAACTCCGCTGAAGCCATCACTCGGGTCAAGCGTTTAGTAGGCTTCAGCAATCTATTGGACAATTATATGGATAATTAGCATCCACAATTACATTAGATTAAAATGTTTTAGAATTATTCCGAGCCGGTTCTATAAATCCTTCCTCTTTGGGCCATCTGCTGACTGACAGGTTGGGAAGAAACCTCTTTTATGGGCAGGCTATTCCGTAATTCTCCACTACAGGAGGTCTTACGTTTTGTTGTCAGTGACAGGTGTGTACTAGATGGACCATTGGTCCGACCCACTATGGCAATTGTTGCTCCTCTACCCATCTTTCCTGGCTCTGTCCTTCCAGGCCCCCCTCTCACTAGGCACTTTGCTTGCCAGTATAGTAGACATCTCTTCAAGCTTCTCATTAATCTGTTGTTTTTACAGGTACAGCCAGACTACAAGGAATCAGAGTTCCCTATGGTAAGTCCCCAAATACCTACATAAATTAGTATGTTGCATAGTATATTCTTAAATTACTCATACATTGGTAATGCTCTTGTGTGTGAAAGAAGCAATGAATGGCTCCTATGAGTGTACTAGCAGTTAATAAAGTGGTCAGCACCTGGGTGTGGTCATCTGTACCTTCTTAGGGCCAGGAGTTCCTTCTGCTTATTCCATAAATGCTCTCTTTTTGTGACCTAATCTCTCTAGCTGGCTGTCATCTGATGATGACAGAGCTCGGCTAAAAATTAGCGAACGTAGTTCTAGTACGTAGAAGTAGAAGGGGATATCAAGTGAGGAACTGCCTAGGGTGAACCTAGAAGAGAGCATTGGGAGTGGAGGGGATGTTTTTGTACACCACTGCTCAGTTTCATCCCAACAGTGATTGGTCTCCCAAAGGAAGTGTGGGAAGCCCTGCTTCATTAATTTCAAACGAGATCAGATAACTCCTTCGGCGTCCTGTAAGGAGTAGTCCTACACTGGCCAGGGAGGGAGAAGGCCTGGTGCTGGGATAGAGAGGTATCACCACTCATTTCTGCTTGGCTTCCCATTCCTAGGTAACGCACCAAAACTTCACCGTGTCTAAAGTACCGAGTAATACCAGCTGTACTAAATGGTCAAGCGGCCCCACGTACTCAGACGTGCTGCAGGCCCTGTCTGCCAGTGAGAGGCAGTGTGTGGAAACAGTTGTCAACATGGGATACTCTTACGAAGACGTCATGACAGCCATGAAGAAGAAAGGACAGAATATAGAACAGGTAAAAGCTCTTGCAAAGGAGTGTGGGAGCTCCAAAGGGGCAGCCATCTCTGTCAGTAGTGTGAACCCCACGGCCTTACAAAAACCAAAACACTTGAGACCTAATGGAGGTCTGGAGTGTTCCTTAATTTGCAGATTAACGGGGAATGAATTTTGGAGGTGAAGTGTGGGTGTCACTAGTACCAGGTGAACTGGCTACAAGGAAAGCGCGTCCGTTGGCTGCCGCCAGTGGCAGCTTCAGACGTGAGACATTCCTTAGGTCAGCACCAGCCTAGAAATGCTTCCTGCCCACTGTTCTGAAATCGGGGAACTTCAACCACACGTGGCCTTTCCTCGTTTTTGGGGGAGAGAGGCTGGGCTTGGAGATCTAGACTTCAGGTGAGGCATTTCAGCATGGACCTTTTGCCTTGCTCAGATACAACGGTGGGGAAAGCCACACAACTGGGCCAACTGCCTGAAGGCTTTTTTGCAGGCTCGCTATTTGGGAGATCTTGGCCCAGTGTTCCCTCTAATTTTTCCCACCCATGTGTGGAATGAATTTTGTTATGTGCACCAATATGGAGGTGATGTGTGACACCTCGCCTCCATATTGGGGCACATAACAAAATTCATGTGGCAGGGCTGGGGCAGAGGGTTGGGGTGTGGGCTCAGGGTGGGGCTGAGGATGAGGGGTTTGAGGTGCAGGCTGTCCTGGGGCTACAGTGGGGAGAGAGTACTTCTCTCCCCCACAACCCCCCGCAGCTCTCTCTCCCCACAGCAGCATCTGGGATGTGGGGGATAGGTGCCTCTCCCCACCTCAGGAGCTCTGGGGCTGGGGCCGTGGGATAAGCACCTCTCCCCCGGCTGTGGCAGGTCCGTGTTGGGGCTGGGGTGGGGCCGCGGGGTAGGCGCGGCAGGGCCAGGGCTGGGGTGGGGCCACATTATAGGCACCTTTTCCCCCGGCCGCAGCAGGTCCGGGTCTGGGCTGGAGCCAATGGGGAGAGGCATCTCTCCCTGCTGCAGCCCTGAGCACCTGCGCGGCGCTTAATAGGCTGCTGTGTGGCCACGCAGCTTAGAGGGAACGTAGTCTTGGCCCAAAGGGTTTGATGAGGGACAAATGACACATGCTGGCTTTAGCAGTGATGCAGCAGCTGGCTCTTTTGAGAGCGTGGCGTTCTTCAGTCACTGCAGCGTATGGTGCAGATGGCCTCCGAAAGGTCAGGTCACATAGCTCACTTTATTGCATCGTGAAGTGGCAGTTACGAGTCTGTTGGATCTGTTTCAGACCCAGAAAATGTTTCTACCCAAACAAATAGGGGAAGAATGCTGCCAAATTTTCCTTGTTCTTACAGTTGCTCTGTGCCCCCTTCAGAGCGTCTCCCTGGCCACCAAGAGCACAGAGGCAGATGGGTTTAGTGCCCCTTCAGTGCTTGCAGTTGGTAGAAAGGATACTTCGTGTTGGCTGCTTGAGTGATTCATCTTCTTTCCAGCCAATAGCAAATGTAAAGCCTCTTTGTACTCTAGAGCAGTGGTTCTCAACCAGGGGCATGCATAACTCTAGGGGTACGCACGCATTTTCCAGGGGTACAGCAACGCATACAGATATTTGCCTAGTTTTACAACAGGCTACATAAAAAGCACTAGTGAAGTCAGTACCAATTAAAATTTCATACAACGACTTGTTTCTACTGCTCTATATACTGAAGTAGATAAGTACAGCATTTATATTCCAGTTGATTTATTATATAATTATATGGTAAAAATGAGAGAGTCAGCTGTGACACTTCTGGATTTTTAGATCTGATTTTTGTATGCAAGTGGTTTTTAAGTGAGGTGAAACCTGGGGGTACGCAAGACAGATCAGACTCCTGAATCGGGTACAGCAGTCTGGACATGTTGAGAGTCACTAGTCTAGAGGAGCCACAAAGAGCTGGCAGTCGTGGTGTGTGTCACTTCTGGAGACTCTGCAGAAGGTGCCAAGTTATGAAAAGCCCAACTTCAGAGCTGGGTGGCTGGAGAGCGGCAGCTGCTGACTGAGGGCCCAGCTCTGCAGGCAGCAGCACTGAAGTAAGGGTGGCAACACCATGAGAACGGCCAGACTGGGGCAGACCAAAGGTCCATCAAGCCCAGTGTCCTGTCCTCTGACAGTGGCCAATGGCAGGTGCCCCAAAGGGAATGAACAAACAGGTTATCATCAAGTGATACCATACCGTGCCATCCTTACTTCTGGGCTGCTGCTGGGAGCGGCTCTGCCTTCCGAGCTGGGCTTCCAGCCAGCTGCTGCCGCCCTCTGGCTGCCCAGCTCGGAAGGCAGCACCACCACCACCAGCAGCACAGAAGTAAGGGTAGCAGTACCATGATCCCCCTCCTCTCTACAATAACCTCCCCCACAGCTCCCTATTAGGTCAGGACCCCGTACAGTTACAATATCCTGAAATTTCAGATTTAAAGAGCTGAAATCATGACATTTACTATTTTTAAAATCCTATGCCCATGAAATTGACCAAAATGGACTGTGAATTTGGCTCTTATCTCAGCAGAGCATCCAGTAAGCTGAACTGATCTCAAAAGGTGCGACAGCTTTCAGATTGGACCAGCTCCCTGAAGTCTGTGGGGAAACCAGGGTTCAAAAGACTTTTCATCTTGATCACTGAACCCTCAGCAGGGTGTTAAAAATGGTTGCTGTGTAGGAGTACTAGCCACTTCTGGAAAAATGACTTGATGGCAGAGATTTTATCAGCATTAAAAGGCAAAAGAATGGCCAGCCTTTAATTTATAGACTGCTTCTGTCTGAAAGAGTGAAAACCAAAGCTCACGGAGGGAGAGAATGAAAGGCCAAAAGAGTTTAGTTCAGCTTCTCTGAACAAGTTCCCGTGCTGAGAACCTGTTACTCACGACAAGGACTTTCTCTAAGCAGTTAGTGAAGCCCTGTCAATGGGCTGTGGGGCCAATGGTGAGTTACTCTCCTATCTTACTTTTCGCCCCACAGGTTCTTGATTATCTGTTTGCGCACAGCCAGCTCTGTGAGAAGGGCTTCGATCCTCTCCTTGTCGAAGCAGCTCTGGAAATGTACCAGTGTTCAGAGGAGAAGGTGAGGCTGTGCTGGTTACATGCCAAGGGGAGGTGCTTTGCTGTGTTGTGGTGGCAGGGTTACTTCACTGACTTTCAGAGAGCATCTCTCGCCGTGGAAGTCAAGTGAATGCCTGTTCGGCCATTGAGAAACCGCTTATTTGGGAGCGGTTCCGCTCCGATTACAGAATTGTTTCCTCCGCTTCCGAATATCAGCCACTTTCGGTATTTTTGCTACTGCAACATTTGCATGAAAACAGGAGACCTGCCTTGAGATCTCATCTGCTCCAGCTGCCTTGCTTGAAGTCCTGCATCCGTTTGTGGCACCAACTGCTTGTTGCAGCCGATGTCACAAAGGACTGATTTCAGCAGCAGTAAATTTATTTTAAACTCAGATTTTGTTTTAATGCCAGAGACTTGGCTCCTGTGAGGCTGGGAAGCTGACTGTAAGAAGGGTTGGTGTTTAATCTCCCGGACGCTAGGATCATTGCATTCACTCTCCAAACACTGCACTGAGGTCCTGGGGCTCGTGTCCTGAGCACTTCAAGGGTGAGGCTGTGCCCTCAGCTTGTGCCCTGTGCCCCCTTTACTGTACCATTCCCTCTTTAAAACGAGCCGTCTCCTGACTTATGGCTTTGACAGCAAGACTAGGCAGCCAGCCTCGCCCCACCCGTCTGTTCCACATAGTCGCTGCTCCTTCAGTGCCCGCGCTCCCTCTTTAGCTTGTGCTGCTGGTACATGCCGACTCCCCTTCTCTTTCCTGGGCTCAGGATGGGAATGGGACTTGACAGAAGGAGGGTCAGGCAAGCACAAGGGGCAGCTCCTGGTATGGCAGAGGTGGAGTGGCGTGGACTTGGCTGCAGGAAGGAATCTGCACCCAGCCCCTCCTGTAAACCTGGCAACAGAACCAGCCTCACCCAAACCCAGGAAATAGCCAGTCCTTAGGTGACACCCACTTTGGGAAAAGCTTACATAAGTTTGACGGGGGTGGGAAGCCAGAGGACTTGTTAGGGACGTGAGTTGCAAATGACACCGCTTTCTGTGAATTCACGATTCAGATGTCTCCTCCTTCTGTCAGCCCTGGGTGTCTCTGCTGAGACTCGGGGCTCCCAGTTCTGGTGGTGCTGTTGGTGGACACCTGTCTGCTGGACACTGGGTTGATCCCACCAACGTCCCATAAGCTCTGAAGAGCCATGTGATAGCAAGGGCAGTTGTACAGGTCCCAGACTCAGCCCCAGGAACCTTTAGCTTCCAACAAGCATGGTCACGACTTCAAATGGATGCAGCAGAAGCGGAAAGGGCAGGCTTTGGCCTACGTGGCCAATGCAGGGTTCAGACTGGTTCTGTCCAATCCTTGGGAAAGGCCCACGAAACCAGCAGGCTGCTGGGTGGCCTCAATGAAGAGCATATTGGGGACTGATCCCTAACTCTTGATGGAGACTATGTAGGCCCCAATGATGGTCTTTAGCCTAGAATGGTTAATTCACGCAACAGAAGCTAATGAGGCATAACAGACGCACTGCAGCCCAAGCTTCATTGCCGGCTGGTTTCTTTAGTAGTAATAGTATCACCATAGTGCCTAGGAGCCCTCATCCGAGATCCGGCCCCCCTTGTGCTAGATCTTGTATGAACACAGGACTGTCTGAAAGAGCCAGCAGTCTTAAGTGTGAGTCGAGACTGGGGGAGTACAAGGAAACCATGAGGCAGTGTAGGACAGCATGCTGGGCAGTGGTCTCTGACACCAGCCAGCTAACCATTGTAGGGATTACAAAGGCAAAGGAGGGTTTTGAAGGTGGATATGGATAACGAGGACAGCCGAATGGCCGCCATGCCGCTAAGTGTGCGTCCTTTAAACAAGTGCGGTTGAACTGGTTTGTCTAGGGCATCTGGGAGTTTTGGCCATTAACTGAGCAGCCCCCATTCTGGCCAGTGGCAAGAGACCAGCCCTGCCTTGCCTTCCCAGCCCCCTGTCAGCATCCCCTGAATCAAAGCTGAGCCTTCCCCTTCTCAAACACTGAATGTGTCTCTCTCTTCTAGACAACAGAACTTCTCCAGCTCATGAGTAAATTTAAAGAAATGGGCTTTGAACTGAAAGACATTAAGGAGGTCTTATTATTACATAACAATGACCAGGACAATGCTTTGGAAGATCTAATGGCCCGTGCAGGAGCCAGCTGAAGACGCTGGGGTTCTTGGAGTATAATGGAGAGCGCCTGCAGGGGAGGGCAGCCTGCCCGTGTAACCAGACCTCTGCCATCTTCACAGCCGAAGAGTGTGATGCGCTCTCTCTTTGGGAAGAAGCCCTGCGTTTCGTGTACATTGGAGACTGCGACTGACCGAGCCCATCTGCCTGCGTCACTCCAGCGCGCTCTTCCCATTGAGAGGAGTTAACTTCCTTTCTTAAATTAAATTTTGAAAGTGCCCTTTCCTAGGTTCCCTTTTCTGGTTTGGCCACAAAGAGTTTAGACTGCCCGACCTCTACTGGAATTGTACATAGACAAAGCTGGAAGTATTTTTTTTCTCACTATTGCACTGGACTCGGACAGAGGAATGCAAAGTTGGTTTTGAAACAAGAATGCTCTGGTTCTTTGAAGCTGCTTTCATGGTGTCAGCTTCTACTGAAACACTGACTGGATCACAGTTCAGAGTAACTGAAGTTGACGTTTAGTGCAATGGATTTTTATTTTTATTGGGTTGAAAATTAGTCTGTAACTTAGTGGAACACTGGTTTCTAACCTGTCACTATGCATAAAGAGAGATGCTTTCCCTCTTGTTTTTGGCCCTTCTGCCACACACTTCTGCCAGGCATAGGTGTCCAGTGCTTGAGTGGTGTGTAAACAGAGTTTTTTTTCCACAACAGGTAAGCTCTGAACTCTAGCTGGACTCACAGCCAGTGGCTTGAACCGAAGAGGTCAGAGCTGGGCCTCTGCAATCTCTCTCCTCCAGGTTTATAGGTTATTTAAACAAATGCCCTCCTAGGAAATCAGTTGATGGTCTGTTTTAAATGATATTCAGTGTGAAGCAGGGGGTTTCTTTCAAGCACTTTCTTTAAATACAAACAATATACTCACTGCATTAGTTCCATTTTTTCCCCACACTGCTTTAGTTACATATTCAATAACATCTAGTAATAAACATCAGTTTTTTTCGTTTGGTTTTGATAGTTCAAAATGTATTATGTTGTACATTGTTAAAGATCTAAATACATAAAATATAAGCAGTTTCTTGATGAATCTTTAATTTGCTAAATATTTTGATTCTGTAGAAAACTACTAATAAAACCCTAAAATGGAATTCCCAGTGTCACGTTTCTATCTCTTGCGCTCTGGTTTCAGTAGAGGAGGTGAACTCCTGTTACAATTGGGAGGAGGGATGTAATCCTAATCAGTCCCACCTAGTAAGTCCTCCAAACCCAGGCAGTTCCTGCCACGCTCAAATGCTCCAGGCTTGTATTGTGTCTATTTGACAGAGCTGGACACAACTCACAAGGAACTATCAGAACAGTTTTTAAAATGTCACTGTTACAGAGACTCTCATTTGTCTGTCATTTGCTCCTTACTTCTGAAAGTTGAATTTTTCCCCATGAAAAATCTCTGCCCAGGAAGGAACCCCCCCTCAGAATGGGCATGAAAGCATAGCTTACTTTAACCAAACCTCCTTTTATACAGATTCACCTCTTTGTGGTTCTGTGTCAGCACATTTAAAAAAAAAAAAGGTCTTGTTGGAGAGCAAATATGTCAGCACTTGTTCGAGTATCCAAGCACACACTAACCTGCTGTGGTGCCGATTTACCCTGGAGCTGTGAGCTGCTTCATGCTAACTCGCACAGCAGTTTCAATATCACTTTCCAGCTTGTGAGAGAAGCTATTGAGACACTTACCAGTGGGCATCTACAGAGCCAGCCTGCTTCAGGTTGTTAAACAAAAATTGTCATGGAAGACCCCAACCAATGTTTTCCCCAGCCAGCTGGTCCTAAATTATGTAGCAGGGTCTCTGAATTCTGTAGTACCTGGTGCAACAGGGTGGAAATTCTCTGACACCTTCATTTTTACCTTAAGGAAAGGGGTGGGGGGAAGATTAGTGGTTTATATATATACAACTTAATACAGTCAGTGCAATAGCCAGTACTTATTCCTCACCTCAGGAAGTTTGGGACTGGGATAAGCACATCTGGGGCGTTTTTTTTCACTAAAACAATCAGCAGCAAAATGATCAATGTGACACACTTCAATTGACATATTTAGATTTCAGCGTTAACCCGTTTAAATTAATGGGGCAGTTTGCAGCCTCCAGAGATACTGTCTGAGGCAGAGAATAGTGAAAACGTGAGGCGTGGAAGCAACCCAACTGTGAGGGCTAGAAACAGTAACTTTAAAAAACAAAAAACCCTCAGGTTTTGAAGCACAACTCTGAGGCAAGAAACAGATTCTACAGCCCAGCAATTCACAGGGCCCTGGCTGTCTCCCCCTGCTGGTAGCGAGTGGGAAACCAGTGGTAGGTGAATGACATGGCACACTTACATTGACACACCCTTTTTCCTGGGGTGTATTTTTCTCAACTAATATTGGTATGAAAGGTCCCCGAGGAATATTTGCTCATTGTAGTGTCCAGGTGAATATCCACTGAAAGCAGATCTGTTTCAGAGAGGCCAGTGTAGGACACAGTCTGTGTAGTAGGGGGACCAATCTCCTTGGGAATAGGTTGGCTAGAGTACTCAGGAGGGGGTTAAACTAATAGCTGAAGAGACCACAAATCACACTAGGGTCCAAGATGGCTGTTTCCTTAGCCCGATGGGTAGGGAAAAAAACCTGTGAGATCATAAGGGGCTTCAATTTGAGTGACATGTTGGAGTTCTCATACTGCCAGGCCTAAAACAGCCTTGGAATTTCTAAACATTATATCAAATTCCTAACTCAGAGTGTTGTAGGCAACGCAGGGGAGTTGTAGATTAGAGCTTGTCTAAACAGCGGCATAATCACAGAAGTAAAGGTTAATGGTAATTTAGGTACAAGTGATCATGATTTGATCACATTTATAATGTTCAAGCAGAATAAAGTCCAGACTAGTAATATATACGCACTTGGTGCTTTAATCAGGCCAGTTTCACAAAGATGAAAACAAGTACCTGTCCTGCTTTGAGCAGGGGGTGGGACTAGATCCCTCCTGAGGTCCCTTCCACCCCTGATCTTCTATGATTCTATAAATTAGGAGCCAAATCAGCTGGGAGGAATCATTTAATCAGAAAAATGCGAATGACAATTGGGAATTATTTATGAATGTCTTATGAGATGCCCCACAAGCCATAATCTAGGGAAAAGGCAGTGGTGGTTAAATTACATTATATAAAACGAACGGTAGAAAGGGGAAGTGGAGAGTAATGACTATAAATCAGAAGTTAGGAACTGTAGAAAATTGATAAAGGGAAGCTACGGGACACAAGGAGAAATGTATGGCCAGTAGCGGTAAGGACAATAAGGAGGTTTTAAAATAGATTAGGAACAAAAAATACTGCCAATGGTATTTAGTTCATTACTAGATGGAAATGGTAGAATTATCAATAAGGCAGAGGTGTTCAATAAATATTTCTGTTCTGTATTTGGGGAAAGACAATTCAGTCTCATATGGTAGTAACTCTAGTCCACTAGTATCTCTAGAGGATGGTAAACAGAAGCTATTAAAGTTAGATATTTTCCAATCAGCAGGTCCAGATAATTTGCATCCAAGCGTGTTAAAAGAGCTGGCTGAGGTGCTTGCTGAACTGTTCATGTTGATTTTCAGTAAGTCTTGGAGCACTGGGGAAGTTCCAGAAGAGTGGAAGAAAACTAATGTTGTGCCAATTTTTAAAAAGGGGAAATGGGATGTGTGTGTGGGGCCGTGGTGTTTATACTTCTGCCCCGTTGAGCATTATCTTTTACAATCTAACTTGGATTAGATCACAACAATACATTTAGTCGTGGACAAAGTGTACTAGAGCCTTTGGTAGTCAATAGAATTTTAATTTAAATACAGTACATTTAAGCACAACCCAAAAGTCGGCCCTGCACGCTAGCATCCACTCACTGCACTCAAATTCAAAAGTGAATTCATTTTAGTTCTTAGTTTACGTGATTTTACATGGTCAGGCTCTTCCTACAACCAGGTTGTTTAATAAACCGTACACACCCCATTCATCAATCTGAAATGAAAACCATCTCGCTCAGACTTCACTGTAATAGACAGGACGCCAACCTGCACACAAATTAAAGCAACATCTAAGTAACAGAACTGAAAGACTGGAGGGGAGAAATATTGTTAGTGCATTCGACAGCAGCTTGTGTAGTCAATATTACCGTTTCCTCTCTGTACTCAGGATCCAATTCTCCAAACAAGTGGGCCTTTAACACACGACTGCTGTGCTTAATGTTAATGCGTGCATGTGTTTCCAGGGTTGGTGCCTTAGTTTCCTCTCCTGTTTATGAGCGTCTCTTACACAGTAACAGGCAAGAAAAATATTAAGTAGAAAAATTAGATTGTGCCACCACAACCCAAGGACACATGGAGTACCTGAGAGGAGTTAACTCCTTTTGAAAAACTGCCTAGATTTCAAGTTATTGGGGGCCCTTTTAACATAAAATGTACAGGGAGAATCACGCTCTGCTCAGTGAACTCTCCTTGAAATGGGTTTGCTAGGCTGAAATGTGCCAGTTCTAATCCCTTTCATACAACACTGAAGACTGAGCACTGAGAGCATTTAAGGCTTACATTCAGCTGAGGTGCAAAAATCCTGTATCCAAACTGGCTCCCACCTCCTGGACGGATGGCTGCTTCGCTCATCCATATTGTCACTGATACATCCTGGAAAACTAGTGAGGTAAGATCAATGGGTTTTTCATGCAACTGGTGTCACAAATGGTTCTTCTCCGGCCACCCACTTAGAAATGGCCATTTTAAATAATCCCGGAGGAACATGGCTAACCCTTCTCCCGGTGAATTTTCAGGCTTTTGCTTTGCTGAGCCTTTCTTTAAAATTCTTTTCCCTGGTATGTGGAGGTTTTATTACTCACCTGTGCCTGCCTGCGTGCCTTTGGGGCCCCTCTGCTTCCCAAATGTAAAGACACAGAGTCCTGCCACTTGCTTCTAGTCTTCGCCTTGGCAGGTGCTCACTTCCTGCTCTGTATATAACCATCTGCCCAGAGGAACCCTCTCCTCTTCCTGTGACCGCTGCACACACTTCCCTCCCACCTCCTGCCTAACCTGCATGCTAGCCACAGCACTCCACCACCAAGCTTTGTCTTCTGCAAATATGCTAAGAACTTGCTATGGACGCTATTGTAGAATGTCAGTATCTACCTGCTTGCAGTCCTGGAACGTTCAATGATAGACTGTCTGCTGTATCTTGGCCCCTCTCTGAGCATTCCTGACCCACAAGGGATGGAGGGGAGGGGAAGGGCTTTCCAACAATCATGTATTTGAAAGGAAAATTCCCAAAGAAACTCAGTGTCACCTCTCCTCTTACCACTCCGTAATTAGAACCACCTAGGGACTAGTGTAAGGAAATCCATGTTCCTCCAGGTTTTTTTCCCTTGACTACTGACTATCAAACATGTCTGCCTTGGTACATGGCAAGGTATTATGCTTAAAGGATATAAAACAGGTACTTTCTCGCTCCATGTCCGAATGCCTCATTTCCCTGAGGAGTGAAAGCTGCCTTCTAAGAGGCAAAGGCAACCTGGCTGGCTTCCTGGAGCTGCTGGTTTCAACTGTGACTTGATGCTGGCTTGTAATCTGAATACATGAAAAACCTTAACTCCTCACATCTTGGAATACAGCCTCTCTGCTCCCAGAGATAAGCCAGCCAGTTGCGAGAGGGAGATCTGACAGCAAGGGAAGTCAGAGAACGTTGAAAGATCACTTCTGAATTTAAGGTTGCTTTGCATATTTCTTGCCTTAGAATTCTGTTCCTGAGCATTTGTTATATGTAAAGTTTCTAGGAGCATTTGCACAGGGGTTACCTTTGCAGAGCCCCAAGCCACTAGCTAACACTGTCTGTCTGTCTAGCTGAAAGGTTACTGTACTACTGCCTGTCACAAGCCCAGGCTCCAGTGCAGTTATGGTTTCAGATTCTCAGAGGATACACTGTTACTTCACCCCTGACATTTATGATTAACTCCAATATTTTGATCAAGCCCCTTTTGCCTATGTCCAAGTTCTTTATAAACTCAGATTCCCCTGAGAATAGATTTTAGAATGTGTTCAGTTTCTGGAGTACATGATCTGAGCTGCACATTCTTCAAGGTCACTTATGGCTTAAGCTGGTATACTCCTGTGTGGAGCAAACGTGGGACGTCAGAGACCTGGCCGTTGTATCTGTGGAGGGATCTAGTTGATGGCTCTGAGGCGTGGGATTCAGCAGCCAACTTCAGGAAATAGTGAGGCTAATGAGTGTCTAAACCCAAACACAACAAGCTGGTGATATTTTGCAGCTGGCTCTGAGGGGGAAATCAGTTCTGCAGTTTGATCTGAATGGGAGAACTGTACTACTGCGTAAGCTGCAGCAGTGGACAGACCCACAGCCATCCCACTTGCCACTAGGCCAAGATCCTCTGATTAACTGGCACCAATGTAAAATCAATACAGGCAGCCGCATGTGAATTTTCAGTGCAAGTTCTCCTGCACATGAGCCTTCTAAGAAGTCATTTATTGTCCATCACTTAAAGCATCCTTGCACTAGGTCTGCAATGTTAGTACCAGGCACAGACTGACTGTAGCCACCTCCTTGGTTCTTCCGAAACTATAAACCAGTCTGGCTCGAACTAGATTTTCATTGAACGCCTGCCTGGTTATTTTACTCCAGCAAACAGCTGTTCCCCTTCATTTCCTCACTTGCTTCTTAAAACCGTTCTTGTAAGTCTGGAATATTTCTTTTCAGACTTTTCTGGTTTCAAAGGGTTTTCCTTTGCGTCATTTTCTCAGCAGCACACAAGTGCCTTTAACGAGAGGAGCGAGTATGAAAACCTCACCCGGGGACTCCTGCTGCTGCAGTGTGCATTTTAAGGCGACAGAATTATTGCTTCAAAGCATATGGTTTCCTATTAGAAGGATGGACCTGGGAATGCAGAGCCCCTGGCTTCAAACCAGATCTATAAAGATTTCTCATTGACTTACATTTCTCTCAGCCGTTATCTAAAATATATGTTAATCAGAAACACCAAACTTGACACTAACCACCTCCCTTGCTGCAGGGGAACCTAACCCCGGTGGGGAAATAGTGAGCATGTGTTGCCGGAACTAGTCCGTGTGGGATGAATGCAATCCGAAGCGGACTAAGGTGGTGTAGTTCGTTGCAGGGTAGCATCCGTCTCGGGCCAGGCTAAATAGAGCTGAAGCTGGGCTCGCATGCTTTGGATACACTTTGATTTCAGCATCAGGATTTCGTCCAGTTTGGTCACATACTTTTCAAAATCCTAGAGTGGAAAACAAATCAACAGAATTAATGCTGGCTGGTGGACGAGGGGGCGGAGGGGGAATAGCTAGCACGCCCAGAGTGAGGCGTGAGGAAAAGAGCTGCTCTTCGGAAGCAGTAAATAAAGGTTCGTTTTGCATTCTACTTCCGTTTTCATCGAAGCACTCAATATTCTCTTGGGAAAGGCCTGACCTTGAAAAACAGCACCGCTCTTTTTGCAAGAGCCTTGGGGCCCCAGCTCCTGGGGCTAACTGGCTTATTTACTGATCCCCCTCTACTTCTGTCTTCCAGTGAAGTTAGTGCTGGCAAAGGGGGCTGGATCATAGGTCGGGATGGTAACAGTCCTACATAACTATGGTATTGATTGGGTGCCAGATACAGTAGTAAGAAAAGCACATTTGAAATGGGCTCTGCCCTTGCCATT